GTACAAGAACTGCAATGAGGAAGCCTGCGGAAAACAAGGAAGAAGTACCGTAGGAACGTTGAAATTTCCTTTGTGAGATCGACCGTGGTATGTCGGAAAAACAGTGCGCTGCTTCGAGACGGGAAACGCGAAATCCACGACTTTAAGGTCGAAAGTTCAAAGAGGGGAACTTACCTGGAGGCAGGGTCAACCGTCACGTTCGCACTTTTCCAAAAATTTTGCGACCCCTCCCTCTTCTAAATGCGACCCCCACCACCCACTATTTAGTCTTAGGAGGCTCCCCCAATACGATACCCCTCCCCATACCCTGATCACCTTTCTAATAACCTTGCTCAACCCCAATACGACCCCTTTTACCTCCCATACAAATGCGACCCCCTCGTTCGAATAGTGCGAAAGCACGGTTGCCCTGCCTGGAGGGAAGACAGGCGGACCTCACCTCCTAGCAGCGCGGACCAACACACATGCAGCGAAGAAAATGCCCCCGGCGATCTAGCATGGCCTATTTCTAGGGTTCTGGACCGTTTCTGAAGGTTTTTTCTTGATCCCTGGACCACTAACCACCTCTACCGCTATGTCTAATGAGCTGCCTCTTATCGTAAAATCCGCCTTCAAAACGAGCTGACGTGGTAGCGGCTCAAACGGTCAAACTCTCGTCTTCTGACGACAACAACTCAATCTAAAAGCTGGTTCTATCGGGTAAATTTCCAATCAGACACTTTCTGGGCACACAGACCCCCTCCCCTCTCCGACACAATTGCATAGTTAAAGTTCCAATAAGAAGGGAGCTGGAGGTTTTTTCCAAATGTGTCGCGGGAACACTTTTTTGGCGGATGGGAAAGTTAAAAGTGCAGTTTCTGGGCTTGAATAATCAAAGATTAAAGTAATTGGCAATGAAATTGTTGAGTAGAGGAGCAAAGTTCTTCGTTTCTCACCATTAACAATGTTAGCGTTCCTTTGATCAGAAATGTCTCGCTTTTTCCGCATCGTACACGCCATCGACCAGGCCATTGTGAAACTGCTGCCACCCGGCGGGCACATTCGAAGACGACCATCTGAACAGAAGTCACAATTCATGATGTTTGGAAGTGGAAACAGAGAAAAACCAAACCCAAAACTAGCTGTCTCTTTCCCAGAACGCTCTGGGTATAACTTACCCAAGCCTATTAAAACTATTTAAGATATTATGAATTGGGAAAATAAAAAAGTAAAGATATTTGGCAGGTAACTGATAAAAATGAAAAAGTCATATGGCTCCAGGAACAATAGTTCAAGTTTCTCTTTTGCAAATCTTGCCGGAAGGAAAGGATAAAAAACAAAGTATTCGGCGTTGATCATTCCCATCTTGGGATGCGCCACGCATTCTACTTCCATTTGTACATTCGTAGTGGCGTTTGAATGCGATGTGGCCTATACAATGACTTGCGGGGCCAGCCGATGTACAAGTCAGTGTTTTTATCCTCCCAGACAAGTCTGGTACCAATTAACCGACCCCGGAGGGATGGAAGGCTTGGTTGGCCCGGGCGACTCACGACCCAGGATTTGATCCCTGGACCGCGCGCGCCACTTACTTTCAGTCACTTCCGCCCCTGCCGGAGGGAATGTTGGAAAATATTATCCTTTACATTTCACATTTTCAAAATTCCACAGTTTCTTCAGGTTCTGGATGTAGAGCTTCTCGTTTCTCTAAGGCCGATGTCAGACTTTGCGAATCGCGCGATTCGCTATTAGCGATTCGCGGTCGCGTTGCGGTACCAGCCAATTGAGTTATTTTATATAATTTCAATCATTTCCAGTGGCGCGACGCAAGCGCAGACGCTAGCGAATCGCGCGATTCGCAAAGTCTGACATCGGCCTAAAGAAACACTCGGATCCACCAGAAGAGTTTCTCGAGATTCCCAACTAGACCATTGTAAGGCCAAGCTTGACGCACTCATCATGTGCTCGACATTTCGCTATGAACATTGTGGCGGAGCCTCCCTAGGGACATTTTTATCCTCGATACTTATTTTTTATTCTACCTGGCATGCGCTTGATGCCATCCGTCGTGATATCAAACACTTCCTTGGCTGTCTACAAACCATTTGTCGGCTTTCAAACTATGCATATTGTACTCGACCGCTGTAATCGACTACAATGGGTGCACTACAATAAAAGTAGTAGCAGCTAAAATTCTCCCTCCTACAAACACTTTCAAATCATCATCTGGAGTGTCTAG